GTTTAAGAGTCTAAGGCTGCAACTAGTGATTATTTTAGTACTCATTGTACATGGAGACTGTTAAAAAATACATTATCTTCCAACTGAAGGTTATTCATTATGCTGAAGTGGTGCCGAGTGAAGAATCCTAGATAGAGAATATTTACAAAAAATAATAGCAATGGTTTATTCTTTTTAACATTTTCATTTAATAATGCTACTGTCTTTGTTCTACAAAGGTGTTTTCAGTGTGTCTTGGTGTCTTGGTGTACACTTTTAGATGGGCCAGCTTGTGAACAGACACAGCTGTCACATGATATATTGCCCAACATCAGCGTCAAACATTTCCTTGTAGCGTGACAATAATCTCCATGGTAACGTCAACTCACTGGAGAGGAGGAACAACAGTTTAAAGTGCATATGAGGGGTTAGATTAGACATTTTCAGAATTTTACTTCTTGGTTGGATAGGGGCAGCGGCTGTGACAAAAGTAACAATAATTTCATAACTAAAGCCACCACACCATAAACAATGACCACAGCCTGTTTAGTTTACACCACAGATATCATTAAAAGAATAAAATTGATGACTACGTCTTTATTTTGTTTAGTAAATGTTTAAACTGTCCAAACATTATGATCCTTGAGTATAAACTGTCCCTGCCTTTTGGATCTAATGTTGTGTACTGATGACTTACAGAAGGCACAAAGCAAAAAAAAAAGTGTTCATCTGAAGAGATTTTATTCAGTTTTGTTGCCTCTTATTAAGTATTTAAAGGGGCTCACCAGTTGCTTGTTTCCAAAGTATGGCATTAAATTTATCAATCTCCATAGAACCAAGCCGGAGACGCCACCAGGCCAATTTACTGGTGAGATCTGTGAAGAGGCGACCCCACTCAGTCAGAATGCAGGTTTTTGAGGGAATTTTTGAGCAAGAAAAGACCCAGAAATGAATAAATGCATCGTATAAAAGTTTAAAACAATATCAATATCATTACAGGCAAATAATAAAGCATAAATAATAGTGGATACCCAGCCTCAAAAGTTACATAGAATAGCTTTAAGTAACAGTACTCTATTTAACTGAACTGTTTGTAGCCTGCTCTCTTACATAAAAAAAGGAACAATTCAACAACTGCCGGAACCTGCAGATAGAGGACACATGCATGTTTGTCTCATTCCCAGATTATTTGTTTCCCAGCACAGTAGCGGATGTTCAGAAAGCGTCACTGTCTCTGTGGTTACATGAAGTTGCAACACTAGTGCTGGTGTCAGCACTAAAACTGTTTATCACAGTGTAGATAAAATTATGCTGCAAAATTTATATTAGTGAGTGGGCTACGCCTTAATGACCCATATGTTTTAAATGCAGAGACAAGAAGAAATGTCTCAAACTTTAGTAGCTATACATCCACTCATACTTGAGCCATACAACTAGCCCCGCCCCCAGGTGAGTCTGAAACCTGCTGAAATGCTACAAAACACTGACATGATACAGACAGGACAGAGCTCTTTCTGCAGGAGACATGCGCAGTAGATCGTGTTGTGACATAGTCTGACAATCCCTCTATATACCTGGGCATTGTGTAGCTCCAGAGACACATACGTCCCTTTGGTTGACTCTGACCGGCCCGTTTAAGACTATTTGGAATTACAAAATAAACATATTTTATAAGGATGCAACAATAACCGAAATACTGTGATATCGTATCGTCAAAAGTCTCACAATAATATCGTGAACTGTCACAATATATCGAATTACATGTTTCTTTGTTTAAATGCATTGTTTTATAGCACCAATAACTAATAAACATCAGGAACTACATATCCCATGATTCATTTCAGTGCAGACAACATGAAGAAATATGTTTTTACTTGAATTCTTGGGATTATGACAGTAATTATTCACACCAAAATCTTTTAAGGGTATTTTAAAAGCAAAAAAGTGTCCTATCTACAATTATATTAGCCTTTCCAAAATATCGCAATAAATATTGTACCGTGAGATGCATATTGTGATAATATCGTACTGAGAGATTTGGATATCGTTGCATCCCTAATATTTTATAATTTTACCTCACGCATGGACTAAAGCTGCATTGTTTTTATTTTAGGGGTGTTTTTTTTTTATTATTATTATTAAATTTTTTGTAAGGCAACCTCACTTTTTCATTGCTTAGTCATTACATAAACTCTCACCAGTCTGAGCAGCTCGGAAAAAAAAAAAAAAAGATATTTTCTGCTTTATATTAAGAAATACAATTAATATTATGCAGAATTTAGTTAAGCATTTTGGCCCTCCACAATATTTTCTAATTCTCATGTGGCCCCATGGAAAAAATAATTGCCCACCCCTGCTCTATATGGATATTGATTTGAACATGTTTACCTCATATCTGGAGTCACATTTTTAGTCATGTTTATGAAATTTTAAATCATTATTACATTATTATTGGTTCCATACGCAGCTAAATAAATCAGGCTTATCTGCGGTCTGCTGTGTCCTGTGAATGTCCAAAAGATTTACAGACAGACCAAAGTACAAAGGAATTAACATGCCAGAAAATAGCCTCTCCATATGTATTTATTTTGCAATGTTAGCTAAATATATTCAACTTAGTCTGCTACATAAAAACATCTGTAGTGTATAGTTGCTTGGTAACATGTAAGCATCCTACTCTCTGAACTTTTCCACGCTCTGTCCTCCCTTTGAGTAGATCCTGTATTTTAAGATTATTGGATAAATAGTTGAATGATGTAAATATTTCAATAAGAGAAGATAACAGAGAGCAGCTGCTGTGCGTCTGTCCGCACGATGAGAGGTTTATTATGACATGTGCGGCTGTTGGCTGGTGCTCTGAAGGTTTCTGTATTTGCAAAAGAAACAATGTCTACAGGAGAATTTGCCCGATTTAGACTGCGATTCTCCTTGAGTTCGAAGAGTCGTGACCGGACTTTGTGTCTTCATGTGCGACGTGTGGTGTCAGTGTGACTCTGAGCTGCTCTGTCAGATCGTAACCACCAAACATCAGCAGTAACAGCCAATAAAACAGAGCGTCAAGGGGAGAGGAGTGGTGGATACAGAGACGCAAGATACAAACTCGGGATATAGCGAAAATAATTATTACTCACCCCTCGTAAAGTTGTACATTTAAACTTCAGCATCTCATCCACATTATCTATAGAAATCGTCCTCCGCAAATAATGACACCCAGTTCACAAAACTGCTCTGTTAATCCAGTTTGAGGTGTTCTTTGAAAGTAAAAAAGCCAGAGTAGTTCCTCATGTGTATCTGTTTACATCCACACAGCACACGGATCGAGGTGAAGCTGCAGGCTAGCAGTAATGTCTCTACTTCCTGTGTACTTTATCGCCAATCTTTTATGCTTTAAAAATCATGTCTCTGAAGTTTTGCACCGCATTTCACAAATAATAATAAGACAAGACTTGTTTCTAAACTAGAAGTGCAGAGCTCTGATCTTTTGAACATTTAAGAGTCTAAAAGTGAGTCATTTTACTGAAGAAAGGAAACAGCTGACACGATTGCGCTCACAACTTAGTTCGTGGTGCTCAGTCATATCACGCTGCAAATGGTTTTAATATCAGAATATTTGAGAGAGATAGTTTATTTATCCAGAAGGAAATTCAGTACTACAACACACTTGAGCACATCTCGAGCATGGAGAAACTGAATATCTTCTATGTGAAAGTGAGAGAGCTGCTACAAATGGATCCACTTGGGTTTGCTTTTTCTCCTCGGGGAAAATTTAAGTGTGTGACATTTTTCATCAGCCCTTCTTGTTAGTGCTTCCCATAACAATAATGTTTTGTAGTGCATTATAGTGGTGCATAAAATATCGAGATGAATGATAATATGGAAACTACTTAATGCCACTGACACAATTCATCTAATGCTGTGTTCAGATCTCTAGTTGGACGCCTCTTCATTTAAGAGAAGATGCTTGAAACTCATTGATGCGTGGCCAATTTCACCAAAAGTTTAGATTTTTCTTCCTAGGCAGTGGTCCCACATAGACTTGGTGTGAATATAGCATAATGCAACACAATCCCAGTCAGCTGATCTAAAAGAACAAATGGTTTAGTAGGTAATATTTACAATGAGTCATAAACAAATGATAAGAAAACGTTTCCCAGAAGTTAAGCTCAGGTAAATATTGAGCGTCAATGAAAAGTCATAATTATCTATGGCAGCGAAAGCTTAATTCACAATATCACCAACCAAAGCAAGGAATTGGATACCAAATTTTTTGTTTTCTAGGGTTTCACAATTTTAAGAAAAAAATCTAAAGAGACTTAATGATATTAGAGTATACCCTTCATTAATAAGAAGGCCGATTTTACAACACCAGACTATGAGCCCAAAACACCAGACTATGAGCCCCAATTCAATGTGAATCTGTTTCTGAACCCTCTGGAGCAAAGGCTGGACTCTTTGTGAGACTATGTAGTTTTGGCCTTTCCTCTTTGATCTACTCTCATTATAAGTGAGACTTTCTATTCTGCACAAAGGAACAGGTAGAGCTGGTGTCAGGAGAGACAGTCTGATAGACAGAAGAAGTCAAGTTCTGACAGTTCTCATGTCAAAGCTGAAGCCCCAATCACTGAAAAGACTTAAAAAAAAAAAAACAGGCAGAATTAAAAAGGTCTGTTGGATTTTTGTGAATTTTAGGCTTTTTTTAATTTGTGTTTGGAGTTTGAATCTGATCACAATGTTTTCTAGGGCTCCACAATTTTAGGAAAAAATTTAAATGCATTTTCTCAGACTTTCAGAAGTACTGCAGTAGCAAACAGATTTGTGATTTATGTATAAACAGTAAATAAAAAAGTAGAATTCTGTTTAACATACACATTAAAAAACTGCAGAAGCATCAGATCTGAGAGACATTCTGAGCAATTTTGTTGTTTGCAGAGGACTATCTATCCATCTCACTGTCACTGGGAATAATTTGAAAGTTTATGTAATAAAATAAAATCCATACTTGCAAATATTGTGATACTGACCTGAGGAGGGGCATCGTCTGCGTGTTTGGTGGGATCACTGTCTTTCACTGGCGCTTTGCTGAACAGTCTCCAGCCTGTTGCATTGTGGGACGCCGCCTTGGGCTCTTTGGGCTTCCTAGAAAACAGGCTCCTGAAAAAAAAAGAAGAATCCACTCTTAGTTTGTCCAGTTTGATCTCTATGTGGTTTTTGCCATTTCATGTTCAAACTTATAAATATTTAAAGGCGCATTGTGTAACTTTTCAAGTGGATAGTCCATCAAATGCTTTTCTCCATGGAGATGTTATTGCTTGTCTGGAATGTTTCACAGTATGGCATTAGATGGTGCACTTTTCCACCTTCATGGCACTCAGAGCTCTTTACAACAAGGAACCACTCAGCCATTCACGCACACACACTCATACCCCAGTGTCTGCGTACACTGGGGGCGAGGAAGGTTAAGTGTATTGCCCAATGACACGACGACAGCATTCATCTGTGGGAGCTGGAATCACACCGCCAATCTGTGAGTCAGTGGACTTGAGCGCTCAACCAATGATGTTTTTGTTGAGAGCGGGATTCAAACGTTCGGATCAGTGGACAATAGGGGTGTGCAAAAAAATATTGAAAGATTGATATCATATCTTTTAATGGGATGATACAGTATCGATATCGTGGGCTGCTGTATCGATGTATCACCAAGAGTATTTACTGAATTATTTTTGTTACATTGCTACAGTTTTATTGCTTTTTTTAGAGGACGGAAACTCGTTTATGCAATACACTTGACATACTGTTTTGATGATTAAAATGCACATGTTTCATTTGAACTTTGTTAAACCTCTTCTTGTCCAAAGACCTTTAGTGTCACAGCCATGATTTAGTCTTTATTTTTTATTGAACCGTATCAAATCCATTTTAAATGTAACGTATTGAATCATATCAAATCAAAAGCTCACTGTATCGAGGTATGTATTCTATCGCCAACTTCTGAATGATATCCAGCCCTAGTGAACAACCGCTCTACCAACTGAGCTACTGTCACCCCTAAACATTAAATTAAATCTTTCTATCTTCATGGAGACCAAACCAGATCAAGTTACAGGTCAGATCTGATTAGAGGCGACCCCACTCACAGTAGGAATGCCTGTTTTTCAAGGCATTTTTGAGCAATAAAACCACTTATAATTGAATAAATGTAAGGTAGAACTGTTTAGTGTCATTCTGTGGAACATTCCAGGCAAAGCAATGACATCTCCACTGAACCAAGCAGGTGACGGACCGCCAACCACAAAGTTATACATTGCACCTTTAAAGATAAGGCAATGAACAGGAAGATGTAGGTGGGTGTCACTGAGAACACATTAAAAAGTACAGAAGTAAAATTTGTACTTCACCAGAGGACACTTCTGCTTTTCGAAAGGTAAAGAAAACAACGCCACAAACTGAAGATTGATTTTACATTTAAAAACAATCAAGTACTCTTTATTTTAACTAATCTGAATTTTTTGTCTAGTTTATGTTTCATGATTTTACTAAATGTGACTGTTGGCTCTGAGGCACAATGAGCTAGTGAGCCACATGTAAATCGGGTTTCAATCGGACCATGTCATCGCCCATATAGACAATGGCCGTGTTGATAAGATCGCTACAGGAAGTGAGCTCCACACAGGAAGCCACACGTCCAGTACACAGATGAATTCGAGACACAAGACAAGACACTGAAGGGGGATTTTTGGACCTATATAATTAAGACTTTACTGGGGATGATTTCGATATACCTTTAAACACAAATGGTGTATGGTAAAAACACAAATATCCAAATGTCTTGTACCTGTAATTTATCATTAAGGGTGCACTGTGTAACTTTGCGGTTGGGGGTCCGTCAGCTGCTTGTTTTTATGGATATGGATCATTGCTCTGCCTGGAATGTTCCACAGTATGACATTAAACAGCTCTACTTTACCTTACCTTATTCAGTTACAGGTGGTTTTATAGCTCAAAAATACCTAGAAAAACAGACATTCTGATTGTGAAAAGGGTCACCTCTCCACAGATCTGACCTGTAACTTGATCTGTTTAGTCTCCATGTTGACAGAAAGGTTTAATGCCATACTGTGAAACATTCCAACATTCCAAAGCAAAAATATCTCCATGGAGAAAAGTATTGGACGGACCCTCCAGCAGAAAAACTTACACAATGCACCTTTAAAAACAACTACAGGACAACTTTGAAAAATATTACAAGGTGTTTTGGGACAGAATTGTCCAGTCATTGGTCTTTCTCACCAATTTATAGATCAAAACGGGATATTGAGTGAACCGATACCTTGGGACCAATACAGTATCCGATCCATCTAAATGTTTAATATCAGTATCACATCGGTGCAACCTTAGATTTTACTGATAAGATAAGATATTACACTTGTCTGATTTGTCTGATTTTCATCCCTTGACACACTGAACACCTCATCTCGAACCAGTTTTTAATAGAGCTGTCAAACATAACGAAAATCAAAAAGTAATGGAGGAAAGGTCACATTTTTATACACTTTATTGTTTACTCATGTACTCATGTACAATAGGATTACATAAAAATACAACTGTGAAAAAGTGTGTAAGGAAAGGATTTTTATCACATTTCATTTGTGCTTCAAATGATTCATAACGATTTGAAATGATTTAAAGTTTAACAAAGTTTATTTTGGGAATTTTTATATAAATAAGAATATGTATATTTATTTATGTATTTTTTATATAGAGAGAAATAGAGAACATAAATATAGAGAATATAGAGAATAGCTGGATATATAGTTTGTTTTGGTTACATTTGTTTTTCTATGCCTTATTTCACGTTCAAAGTATACTTTATTCATTTTATGTTATATGTCTCATATATTTTATTGCAAAACTGCTCTACCGTACAGACTCGTAGCCTAAATTATCCATAAAAAAGTGTTTTGGTTTTTTTGAAAGTGAGAAATGCTGAATAAATGCTTCGTGATTTCAATAATGACCAAAATAATAGTGATAATTATTTTTTTCCATAATCGAGTAGCCCTAACATTGTCCAGTCTCGACTCACTTGTGGGTCAGTAAATATAAAAAATCTGAGGGACTTCTGTCGGTTTTGCCTTATACTTAAACTCATTTTCAAGCACAGTTATCTGTATTTTAGCTAAACAAATGACAATATACCACTCTTTACTGTTGGTTATGTTCTAATGTTGTTACCTATTTAAAAACAGACCTGGAGTTGTGTTTTGTTTCATTTGCATGTTTGAGTAACGCTGCACTATTAGTCTGTCTACATCTCTAAAGCTCCAAATGCTCTGTTAAACCTTATAATGTCATGAAGCTGTAGTTTTCAAGTTACCTTTTACCTTTAGTTTTTGTTTTTTATTTGAGAGAAGAACTCAAAAGCCTAAATATGCAGGGTGTGTTTGTGATGAGGAAACAACATTAGAATAAAGACCAGAAAAAAGTGTCATATGAGCCCTTTAACACCGAAAATGCTTCCTACAAACCACATGTGACAGCAGAGTGACAAACAAAGCTGCTAAATCAACACTTTTTTTTTTTTTTTTTTTACAAACACTTGGTTGGAGAAAGTTAGATCTGAGAAGTGTGAGCTGTGTGATCTGTCAAGAGGAAACGCAGCCCAGAGGAAGTACGCCAAGTCTGATGTAGTCACCGTTCGGCTACATCAGACACCAAAGCAAATATTATCCCCGCTTCCTCACAGCACCAAAAACAAACCGGTGTGTGGGAAAGGCCTTTGTGTGAAGGGAGGATTTCAGGATCTGTGGAGACTGCAGGGTGTTTTCTACACCGCGTTTACTCCACAAAAATGCCAGCACCAACAGCTTTACAAAACGCAGAGAAAACCTGAAGGAAGAGTCAGTCCAGGCTGGAATCTGTGACTAAATATGTCAGCTGTGGCTGCATGGCTTTAACTTATGTTTACATCGACTGGCATGGAGGTTTCAGGGGTTAATTCTGACTTTTAGAACTTTTAACTTTAGGCCAGGCAATATGACAAAAAAGAAACTTTTTTTTTTTACTCATACTAATCTATCCAGATGTTTTATTAAATTTCATTCTATCCATTTACATCCAATGAAATCATTTTTAATTAGGTCCATAGAGGGCCCAAGCTCACTGAGGCTGGCAGTTATAGAGGAAAACTTGGAGCCAAGTTCATTATTAGGAACAGGAATTGATTTACAGACAAAATAGTGAAATAAAAACACCAGGATCATGTAGAGCAGGTTAATACAAACATTTCCAGACCAACACTAGGAGCCTGACAGCAGCAGATAAAAACAGAACTGGAGTCAGTGGAGCCAGATGCGAGCCCATGATCACTTGATATTTGTATCGTGGCAACTATCAGATTATCTATGCCCAGTTAGTCTATGAATACAAATTTCACTACAGACATGCAATAATTGCCATTTAACATTAAAAAGTAGTCATCAGGGATGTAACGATATCCAAATCTCTTGGTACGATATTATCACGATATGCATCTCACAGTATGATATATATTACAATATTTTGGAGAGGCTGATATAATTGTAGATGGGATACTTTTTTGCATTTAAAATACAAGATTTTTGGTGTGGAGTCATAATTCCAAGAATTCAAGTAAAAAAACATATTTCTTCATGTTGCAGCAATGAAATGAATCATGGGGTATGTAGTTCCCTATGTTTATTAGCTATTTCTGCTATAAAACCATGCATGTAAGCAAAGGAACATTTTTCCAGTATACTGTGACGGCTCACTTGTTACGGCCGCAGGTCTCCAGTTCCGACTTGTTTTGTGTGTTTTATTTTCTTTTGCTGAGCTGTCCTGATTCCTGCTCTGGGAGCCCTGGTCTGTGATTGGTTGGGCTTGTCTACATCCACCTCACCTGCAGCCACCGCCCCCTCCCCCCATTTAAGGAGATTGGCAGCACCTGTTTGGAGCGCTGGCCAGAATGCCATTTTGTGTTTGTGTCTCTTTAGTGTCAGTCACTTGTTTTTGTACTCGTATTTGTCTGAATTTGTTTGTGTTGAGACACTTGGTTAGTTTAGTTCTGTTTTGTGCCTTTTTGTTTTGTCACTCGATTCTGTTTGTGGGTTTATGTGGTTTTACTTTGGGGCGCT